CCCACTCCCCGGTGGCTCATGTGACACCAGCTTAGGCTGAACGGGACGCCTCGCCGAGCTCGGGGACCCAGCGGCAACGCGCTCGGATCCTTGGGGGGACAGGATCGCTCCCCGCCCGCGGAAAGGCCCCTTCCTCCGGCGCCGGGACGTTCCTGTGCCCCCACGCGCCCTCCAAGCCCCCGCGCGGGCCACCAGAAAACCCGAAAAGCGGTCTTTTCGCTTTCCCAGGGAGCCCTGGGTCCCGCTGGATGAGAACCCAAGGAAGAGGGGGCAGGGAGAGGACCAAAGGGAAAGGAATTTCCTGGGAATTTCCTGGTGCTGCCGCCCCACCCCCCTGTCCCCTCCCGGCGTGACTCCCGAGACCTCTCTGCCCCCTGGAGCCAGGGTTCTCGCCAATGAGCGGCGCTCCGAGGCTCCCCGCGCGCCCGCCTCGCCGCCGGCCCGTTCCGGCCTGCCCTCTGCTCGGGCCCCTGGCCGCCGGCTTCCCGAGGGCTGCCCTCCCGGGCTCCCCTGCTAGGTCCTCTCCACGTTACGGCAGGAAGGGCGCAGGGTGGGGAGTGGGGGGCTACCTTCGCCCACCCAGCGTCCTTCTCCTACTTAATACACACTGGAGCAGTATCCTGAATGCAGCCAGGGAGCTCCCCTGAGCAATCTACCTCCTCTACACCCACCCTCTCCCTCCACACACCCCTGACAGATGGGGAAACTGAGGCTCGCGGAAGCTAAGCCCGGGAAATGGGACGCGCCAGGAAGTCAGGGTTGCAAGCCAAGCCCGTAACCTTAGGCCAGACACACAAAGCCTTATTGTTGTTGGAGGAGGAAGGAGGGAACGATTGAACACCTCTAACTTCTACTTTGCCCCTGGCCTGGGAATGCCGCCTGGGCATCCTTCCTGTGAGAAGGGTCCTGCGGAGACAGAGCCGCCCAGAAGAAGGAGGTCTCCCGTCCTCTGAGGGGTGCAAGTTCTAAAGAGCAGCAGTAAACACACTCCAGTGGGTGAGCCCTCCGTATGGACCGCAGACGGAGCCACCAGTGCCCGGTCGCGCAGCATACAGCGCCCAAGGAACACGGGTCATAGTTATGTGATCAAGCGTTAGGGAAGGGCAAACCCCAAGTCTGCCACCCAGGGGTCAGTGGGGTGGGAGGAGAGGAAGGGATTAACTGATAGGAAGGGCCCTTGAAGAAGGGAAGTTGAAAGGCCACCGTCTTCAGCGCTGGACAAGGCGGAGAAAGTGCCAGCAATTCTCCATGAGCCAGCTGATGCTGCTGTAAGCAGATATCCGGCTTGTCACGGCTCCCTGCATCATTAGTCAACCACACACATGGACGCAAGTGTTACCCCTGGCTGGGGAAGCACTGCTTCTGAGCCACTGAGACAGCGGATTTATGGGCTCTTTTATAACCACTTCTAAACTCTGACTCCAAACGTAACACAGAGGGTAACGATGGAGCTGTATTCACTCAATAAATATTGGCCGAGCACCTTCTGTGTGTCGGGGAATGTACTGGATGCTCTCTCTATAGAGAAGGAAACCACACAATTGCGGTATCTTCCAGTACAGCAGCAAAAAACGAAATGCAGTCAGATGTGTGCCAGGAGAGCTGGCTGTCCAGGGGGCGGTGGGAGCGCAGGGGACTATGGGCCAGCCCAGCATGGGGAAGAAGGCTGGGGGAGGGCTTGTTGGAGGAGGTGGAATCCAGTGAGTCTTAAAGAATGAGGAGCCAGCCAGATGAAGAGGAGCATAGCATGGTATTCCAGGCGGAAGGTGCCTTGTGAGCTGATGCACCTGAGGGGGGGCGGAGAAACTGCCTGGTGTGCAGAGAAAAGCCTGGAGTCTCGACATGGCTGGTCTAGAAACTCAAGGCAGAGACCACCAGTAGCCAGAGGACAGGGGCCCATGAGCTGGGTGAAGGGCAGATCTCAGGGGAATGAGACTGACTGTAAACTGGGAGACTGGTTGCAAAGCTGTTGCCATAACCCTGTTAGAAATGGCAAAGAACTAAAGGCTTGAAGGTAATCAAGCGGCCATCAAGCTCAGAAGCAACAAAGCCCACATGGAAGAAGCACACCAGCCTATGCAACCACGAGGTGTCGAAGGGATCAGGTGTAAGGCATCATCAGAACAAAAAATCTTACCATAGTGAATGATGGGGGGAGTGCAGAGTGGAGATCCAAAGCACATTAGTAGGCCACTGGAGATCCCCTTGCAGAGGGGTCTCGGGGAGGAGATGAGCCAGTCAGGGTGCAATGTAACAATGATGAGAAATACAATCTTCCTCTAGTTCCTAAAGGTTTCCTCCCCACTCCCACTACCATGACTCGAATTCTATCTTGCAAGACTGGCTAGACCAGAGGAGGTACACTGGTACAGATAGGAACTGAAAATACAGGGAATCCAGGACGGATGAGCCCTATAGGACCAGTGGTGTGAGTGGCAAAACAGGGAGGGTAAAGGGAGAATGGGTAGGAAAGAGGGAACCGATTACATGGAACTGTGTGTGACCTCCTCCCTGGGGGACAGACAACCGAAAAGTGGATGAAGGGAGACGTCGGACAGGGCAAGATATGACAAAATACCCATTTATAAACTATCAAGGGCTCATGCGGGAGGAGGGAGCGGGGAGGGAGGGGAAAATGAGGACCTAATGTCGGGGGTTTAAATGGAGAGGAAATGTTTTGAGAAACGATGTACAAATGCGCTTTACACAATTGATGTGTGTATGGATTGGGATAACAGTTGTATGAGCCCCTAATAAAATGTTAAAAAAGAAAAGAAAATATACCAAAACCTTTTTTAAAAAAAAGAAATGGCAAAGAACATATTTGCAAGAAATACTTAGAAGATGCAAATACAACCTAGAATCAAAACTAGAACAGTGGTTCTCAACCTTCCTAATGCCGCGACCCTTTAATACAGTTCCTCATATTGTGATGACCCCCCCAACCATCAAATTATTTTCGTTGCTACTTCATCCCTGGCATTTTGCTACTGTGATGAATCGGGCAACCCCTGTGAAAGGGCCATTCGACCCCCAAAGGGGTCGCGACCCACAGGTTGAGAACTGCTGCTCTAGAAGGTCCTAGATGGAGAGAATAAGGTGGAACAAAACTTAGATCATAAAAAAATAGGCCAGAGAGAAACTGGTGGGACCCCTCCCCGATATCAGAGGGCCATGAAAGAGGAATCAGAGATGTAACCCCAGGGCCCCTCCTAGAAGTATCCCTAAGTAAGACTGATGGAGATATCATGACCCTCAGTCACCATCCAGGTCTGGAACTCAGCTGGCCCCTGCGTTTCCATTTTCAGCCAAACAATAGACCAAAAAATCACCGCCCTGTCATCAAGTCAATCTGACTCATAGCAACCCTGTAGGGTAGGGTAGACTGCCCCTGGGAGTTTTTAAGACTAAATCTTCATGGAAGTAGAACGCCTCATCTTTCTTCTACAGAGCAACTGGTACTTGGCCCAAACATCAGCAGTGCCAAGGTCGTGAACACTTACTGTATGTTTCTAGTTTGGATGTATTCGAGAAGGGCGGAAGTACAACCACCCATGATAGAGAAGAAAAGAGGTGCAGGTTTGGGGCCACTTCATTGTTTGAATTTGCACACACTGAACTTCAGGTGCAGGTGCCCTTAGCATGCCCAGATCCACTTGCCCAGCAAGCTGTCAATCACCTGGTCCTAACCCTTGAAGTAGACCGGTGTGAGAGTCTTGTGCATATGGATGGGACTGACAGCCTGAGACCATTCCTGGAGAATGCCCACGTGGGGATAAGAAGAGGCAGTCTCATGTTTTACAGAGGAGGACTACCTTGTAATGGATTTTTCTGTTGTAATCTTCACAAAAGTTGATCGTCAGGCTTTTGGGAGGGGGACGGGGGTGGAGGTGGGGCGGGGTTGCTGTAACCTGCGTTAAGTTCAAACTAGCAACCTTTAGGTGAGTAGTCAAGAAGAAACCAATTACTCCACCCAGGGATGCCGACCTCCTGACCTAGGTAACTGCTATTCTGACTTCTAATTATAAATGAGTATTTTTTTACATGTTTTTGAACTTCACACCAATAGAATATACAGTACAATTTTAAAAAATCATTTTGTTGGGGGGCTCTTACAGATATTATAACAATCCATAAATCAATTATACCAAGCAAACTTGCACATACG